ATATCATCCAGTGCTTTGCGGTAAGCACTGATCACCACTGTTGGGTGCATCTGCTGTTCCAGAAAGTGCTCAGCCACAGACAACATCTCCCCCGCTGAAAAAAAGAACACCATATAAGCATTTTAACTTATTTCTGAGGGGTTCTTTCGGGATAGGGTCTTGCCACATAGTTCAAATTGGCCTTGAACTCACTATGTAGTCCAGGTGAAACTTGAATTTATGGCAATACTCTTTCCTCACTCAATCTCCCAAGTGCAGGGATTACTCCAGTACCATACCTGGCTACACATATTTTATTTTTTATGTATTTGGTACAGGGTCTCACTCTGTATCACACAGCTCTGACTTATAATGATCCTCCTGTTTTCAGCCTCCCCAGTGCTGGGATTACAGGCGTGCACCACCAAGCCTGGTGTTGGTGGCCAGCTCAGCGTGCCCGGGGGTGGGCCTGGCATGGCATGTGGTGCCAGGGATTGAACCCTGGTCCCTGTGCTTGCCTAAGCAGAAGCTTAGTCTGCTGAGCTATCTCGCTGGCCCTCCACACATATTTTTAAAAGATAACCTCATAAAAATAATAAAAAAAATAGCATCTGAAGTAAAGAAACAACTGCAGAAAGAAATAGAGCAAATCAGATCAGAAATAATCTCTGAAGTAAAAAAAGAAATGTTAACTATAATGAAAGAATTACTAAATGATTCCAAAGACATTGATAAAAAATAAGGATTTTTTTGTTCCTCGCATGCCTTCAGGGCATGTTTGGCCAGCGGGAGAGTTGTGAGGTTCGAACTCCAGCCACCTGAGGCTGACAGCTTTGTGGAAGCAGTCACTTAAAGGACTGAGCTAGGCCCAGGACCCCAAAAATAAAGAATATGGAAAAAAATAAATAAAAGATAACTTCATTATGCTTCTAAAAAATACTTTCTTCTCTAAAAACATGCCAATTAGCTATCAACATTTTTGAAACTTCATACTTTCTATAAGCTAATTAATAAAAAGAACATCCTTATTATAGCTACCTTCTGAATGGTCAAAAATTGTTTTCAGTTTACTCATTTTTTGTGGTCTAAATTTGCCAGGTGCAGTACTAGCCACCTAATAAACATAGTACTCTAGGAGACTGAAGCAGGAGTATTATAGGTTCAAGTCCAGCCTAAACTTAAGGCCAGACTGAACCACATACAGAGCCCTTTGCGGGAGAGGCTTCCTATTAAAAATGTTCATCAAGAGGCTGGGGAGGGGCTGGTGAGATGG